CGCGCGTCAGCCAGTGAAAGGGTCAGTCAATACTTGGAGCGTGGAGGTCCTGAAATGGGTCGGTTTGGTGTCCGTAACCAGAAGCGGCGAGACGGTAAACGCTGTGGAATGTTAAAGACTGTGGCTGTGTCTCAAATCGAGCCTTAAGTTCCCTACATAGTGAATTCCTGCCTGCCGAATGAAACCGAGTCTGACTGGTTCATAAAGGGCGCTGGGTTTACTGCAACACTATAACATTGGGACAATTCATCCTTCTGGCCTTCTGGAAAGCTTGTGACGTCACATGCAAATGAGCTACGCTGGACTTGGATAGCTTAGCTATAAGCTAACTGCTAAGCTAACTGACTGGCAAGGATCTGGCAACACTTAGCTTAAAATACAAAATACCAAAAATTAAAATGTACTTTAAACAAATTACATCTGGGGACTGACATTCAAGTGCACTAATTTCTACATTGGGACACCCCTAGAAATGAAGTTTACTACCTACGGAACAAGGGGGCCAGTTCTGAGTAATTTGAGACACGCCCTCGCACTGAAGGGGAAAGTGACGTGATTTTCAGCACTTTGGGTGGGCTCGCGCCCCGCTGTCCTCGCTCTAGCGAAGACAAAATCACAGAAACGAGAGACTCTGAACATAAAGCGGACTCCAGAAACCTCCAGTGTCGTTTTGCAGTTACTGAAATTGACTTGCATGTTTTGTTCAGTATGATATGAACGTGTTTGACGCTGCTAGACTCGCGTTAGCATGCACGTGTTATTTCTATCTGTTTCCTCACACTTTCTATGGTCACAGTGTCGTATTTTGATACATTGCTCTGTATAATCCAGACCGAAGAAGCCTATATATTTGTACATATATATATATTTTTTGAATGTATTTTTCTACCGTTCATTTTAAGATCAAAAGTAAGAGATATATATCTATCTTCTTATAGATTTGAATCGAATTCTTGTATTCACCTTTGACAGTGGAATGTGCTTGACTGGTTCGTGCGAACCAAATGCAGAAGAAAAAAACATCAACATCGTAGTTGAGTTGCAGTAGCACACTTCGTTGTGCAGATATTTCGGGCTGTTCCTCGGGGCAGAGCCGGCGTTTGTCTATATATTATCGTCTACTTGCCTTTGAAAACAAATGACAATGTTCTTGTGCAATGCCACGCTGTTTAAAGCCTTATGCATATTTTAAAGAAGTAATGAATGTTTGAAATAAAATGAAGTATTTATTGATTTACATTTGATTGTTTAATTGAGTCATTGACCACTTAAACACCCTCGCAAAACACACACACGCAGATCTCTTTCTCTCTCTCTCTCTCCCTCTCTCTCTCTCTCTCTCTCTCTCTCTCTCTCTCTCTATATATATATATATATATATATATATATATATATATGTACAGTCAGTGTACAGCCAATGTACAATCATGTAAAGTTAAAGCAACCTTTTAAGCAACTTCGTACACTGCGAATGGTAATGCTTCCTCTGACATTTTTTCTGATATACGACTTTACATTTTTAGACCAAAAGGTTTTCAAAAAGAGAAGAAAAGCTCCAAACAAACTCCAGTTTCTGCGCTGAAAAATGTGCTGTGAGATTCCCCTGCAGTTAAGGAACTCAGTACGTGAGGATTTTTTTATTTTTCACGTGATACTTTAAGTTGCTTAAGTAGCAACTTTGACTACTTGAATCACTATTCAATCGAAGTAACAATACATTCAGTTGATTATGAGTTGAAGCTGCTCTACCCATCTCTGGAAAGCAGCTTGATCCTTTAATAATGAATCAATAAGCTTTACTGGAGTTTAAGTACTGTACTTTTTTCCAGTTATTCCTCTACAGCGCCGCCTGCCGTTAAGTCCCGTGGCTTTCCGGAACTTCGAGTGCGTGAGTGCACCTCGAGGCCTTTTTGAGGTCCATAACAGACATTATACGCTCTCTTTTGAAAAAAAAGAAAAAAAGTTACAGTTCCATAAAATGATGTTTTAATGTATATTTTTGTTTTTATAAAGTTTTCGGGATTCTCCCTAATTATAATGCAGGCCAGTTTCAGGACTTGTCTGAGCACAGCGACACTTAGACCGAAAAGAAGCCGGAGCGTGACGTGCCCTGTATTTGGGGCGTTGTTATTATTTTTTCCCCACCCGTTTTCTGACAAACTCCTCTTAAGATTGGCTAATAATGCTCCATTTCATGAACTTGTAACATTGATTTGCTAGTGACGCATAGTCCTACTTATAGTCAGTGCGCTGACAGCCAGTCCCATGGCAGAAAGCGACACACTAAGAGAAAATCCTAGGTTGGGTGTGCTGGAATACGGGTGGGAAAAACATTAAGCATGCAGTAGCGGCGCTGTAGCTGTCCATGGTGCTGAATGTTGCACAAGGCAAGATAGCAGTTACAAGCCTAGGTGGTGAGATCATGTTAGCCAATCTTGGCTAAAGAGGCGAGAGACTAGCCAATCACAGGGCAGGAAGAATGTGGCTGGCCAATCCCAGCGCAGGAGGAGGGTTTGTCTGAACAAGAGTGAAGAAAAACCCTCACCGCTGTATGGGCGCCGGTTTGCGTGGCTTTTCCGGTCTTCAACTAAGTCCATGTTTGTCGCGCGCACCGGCGTCCTCGCGCTCTGACCAAGCCAAGAGCGCGCCATGTGACGTCACAGGCGGCCCTGAGAGATGCACGAGACTATTTAACGCGGAGGGAAAAGCGCGAGGGCCTCGCTGCCTCTTTCCTGCCCTCTATGAGGGGAAAAAGAGAGTAACGGAAGGACATATGAACAGTTCCGTCAGCACCCAGCTGAGCTCGGTCTGCTTGCGCGGTGGGAGGGACAGAGATGAAAGAAGACTGAGTGAGTACCGGTTGTATTTAAAACTCGTTTAAAGCAGGAGGAATAGTCTTCTCTTCAGTGTGAGAGATAGCCTGGTTTCTTTGTTTTATTCTGTTATTCCTGCAAGGAAGAAGGAGGGTTAAGGTGGGCTGGGTCGTCCTGACCATAAAAGATGTCAGACGAGCAAGGACTATTGCAATGCATGAGCAGCTTCCCCCAGTGTTTCCTCAGTTGTGCGTTTATTTAGTGGAATGGTTAATAATGTCCTGTCATACTGTAATCTGTGGTATGCTGGCCACACGTGGAGCTCTGATCATGTGTAATCAGCATTGTTAGAGACTGGACTGTTAGTTGAGAATGGAAAGTGAAAATAGTTTTACTTGCTGTAAATTGTCTCAGGTGGGGTTTGGATGTGCAGTGAGACTGGATTTGGATCAGGGAGAGGGTCTCGTGCCGCGGTGGCACGCGGAGAGGGCAGAGGCTTTGTCTGCATGCCAGTCAAGCGTTCATAACGTGCAGACCGGGGGAGCGCGCGCTCTGTGAACGTTCCAGCACATCACTGGGGCAGCTTTGATCCCCCTTCCACACGCGCCTGTGGACACAGGCTGAAATACACGCGCGCGCACAAACACACACACACACACACACACACACACACACACACACACACACACACACACACAGACACACATTCATAAACACGCTCACCTATGTACAAACACACACACAAACACACATATACACACACATACCAACATACACCTATGCACAAACATGCAGACACACACATACGTTTACAAACACACACACACACACACACACACACACACACACACACACACACACAAACATTCACACACACACACACACACACAAACACACACACACTCACACATATGCACACACACACATGCAGTACATTGTGCGTGAACGAGTAAGACAGAGGCAAGAATTGTAGGTCACTCTGGATGTATGTGCACATGAATTATTAAACAGTGAGTTTAACAGAGCACAAGTGACTACATAACGCATCCATATATATAAAACACAGACAGAGCAGGAAAGAGAGAAACAGAGTCTGTGTTTCTCTTTTATTCTCAGTTTATTCTCAGTTTTAGTCTTACGCTCAGCAGACAGACACATAAGATGTTGTGGGGAGAGGTATCACCACCACCTCCATATTGAATACAAGCTGTGACCTAATTACTGCTCTGCATGGCCTCATTTTATCACATTACTGCATCACTTTCTGTTAACATTAATACACACCATATTGTTCCAGTTATACAACACAGGAAGGAAAGAGATAAGAAAACACAGAGAGAAAGAAACAGATGGGATGCACATAGTGCTATGCAAAAGTCAGAGACCACCCTTTGTTTATGTGATTTCCAGTCAAAACAGCCAGTAAGTACAAGTTATTCGTTTTTCAGGAGATATTTCTAAAGAGATTTAATAAAAGTTATTCTACTTGCATAAGGAAGGGGAAAGTCAAAGGAAAAAATTGAAAAACTATTTCCAAAATTGGAGTTCAAAAAATGGTTAAAAGCTACAGAGAAAATGGGACTCCTATCCAGCATGCAAGACATGGTAGACCACCAAAACTGTCCCCATCAGATAAACTGTACTTAAAGCTTGCATCTTTGAGATAGAGGAGAAAATCAAGCTTCACTCTTACTTCAGATCTGAAAAAAAATCCACAGGTGTTTCTGTCCATCCTTTCACTAAGAAAAAGAACTGGACAAAAAGAGATGAACATTTGCAAATCAAACAGGGAAGGTGCTGGTGTTCTCAGAACAATGGACTGACCACCCCAACATTATTGAATATGTTTGGGATTATTTTGATTGTGGTGAAGCAGAAAATGTTAACCAACCTCCAAGACTGAACTTTGGAGGTGTGGAAAAATATCCCTGCAGATTTCGTTGAAAAACTGAAAGCAAGTCTTCTGAAAAGCAAGGAAACTACAATAAAAGCAAAGGTAGACAGATTAAATACTGACAAATGAATAACTTGTATTTAATAGCCAGGAAAATAAAAAAATTAAGGACAGTCTCTATAATTGACCTCCTTGTCAAACTTCAGTAGTAGAAAATCAAGTTAGAAGTGAGAAAGAATAATTAACTTGTGTATGTGTTGTGTGATTGTTTTTGTACACATACACAGCACACAATGTCGACCACCACTGGGCCGTCAATGTGTTGTCCTGACTGTGGAGAGGCGTGTGGTTTCGGAGACCTGCAGATAAGCCACACCTGCAAGAAGATCTGCGTGACCCCCAGGCGGAAGTCAGAGGGAGCTGTGGTGGCTCTTTCGGCCCAGCAGCAGTGCTCTTCTTTGGGGAGCAGTCCAATCAGCCACCCCTTACGTCTGGAGCTTCTGGATGCCCTGAGCTTGGCCTCTTCAGCCGCGGTTCCTCTGGGTCAGCTCCTCGTTCGCAGACATGCTCCCTCCCTCTCCCCGCTGATGGCCATGGCGGTGTCCACTGAGGCGCACTCGGAGCAGGTGGTGGCCCAGCTGAGCGTACCCTGGCTGGGCAGGCTGGCGGTGGAGGCCCGGCTGCAGCAACTGGCTCTGGAGGTCCAGCAGAGGGTGTCCACCCGACTGGGAGCGCTGCAGGAGGAGGTGAAGAGGAGGAGCGCGGAGGTGCGCAGGGCAAGGAGGGAGAGCGAGAGAATGGAGAGAGAGAAGCGGGACGCAGAGGAGAGGGCGGTCGAGCTGGCCCGGCAGGTGGACGTTTCTGTGGAGATGCTGGCCAGCCTGAGGCAGGAGCTGATGGAGAGGGAGGAGGAGCTCAATCTCAAACATCAGTAAGTTTGTATGTTTACAAACAATTTTCCTACAAAGAATCTAATTCCAAGAGAAGTATGGTGGTGGATGTTTTTGCAAAGCCATGCAAATCCTGTAAGGATACATGGCATCATGGAAATCATCAAATAGCAGGAGATTTTAGATGAAAAGTTGGTATTTTATCAATGAGAACATTTAATGCTCAAAAAGTTTTTTTGGCCATAATATATTCAGCATTACATATAGTTAAACGATCTGTTTGCTGGTTTGCATCATGTTTTCAACATGTCACTGTTGGAATGAAACCTTGAATCTGCAAAAAAGCAACTTTACAGAAGAAGGAAAAACAATTTCACCTTTTATTGAAAGTTAACATAAGAATTTATTGAAAGTCATTTTGGACTATTTCTACTGGTCCATTTGTCATGAAATTTTGACACGGTCTAAATGGCAACTGGCCTATTTAAAATTGCAAAAGAAAATAAAAACTGACAAAAATGGAGATACAAGGTTTTGCTCCATCAGTAACTATTAGATTGCAGTACGAGAATAGTCTGTATGTGGGGGAGAACTTTTTATAAGCTTCTGCTCGAGGTAGAAGGCCAGACCTGCCTAGATGGACCGAGATAGGACTGAGGAACAGGGCGATATGGAATTGGAAGGATATGAAAACTTGGTCAGGGGAGACTGAAGGTGGAGAAAGAAATGTATAGGGTGTTACACTGGAAAGAGCAGGAGCTTCAGGCATGGTCCTCCTCTCAAACTTTAGTTATTCCATAACTCCATATAATGGGAAAATTCTGGGTCTGCATGAGTCGGCCAATAATTACATTTCACAGAAAAATAAGGTCATGATGCGTTGGTGCAGATGTACTGCCAAATATTATATAAAATAGAAATTCAATTTTTTTATAATGATTTTGTTATTTTTATTGTGTTGACATGTTGGTGCAGATGTAGTCAGTTTAAGCTCATACTGATGAACTGTTATTGCTCATTTTTATCAAGGACCCCAGTCATTCTGGACGGTGTTGACAATTTCAACATGCATCCATCCATTATTTCATTTACTTGACTGTGCTCTACGCATGTGTCTGAGAATGTGGGTAGACTTCTGCTTTCTGTTGCCTGCACTTTGTACAACCATACAGCCCTGGAATTAGTCTCTTGTTGCCATGGCAGCATTCACTGGAGCCCCATTCCATGGGCGTCTGCCTCACTGCTGCATTAGATATGCAATTTGACAGGGCAGCAGGACAGGACCCCAGGGGGCTGTGTGGCATGACTTGACAAACTCGCACACTCCCTGCATGCAGGTCATCCAGTTCATAGTGTCTGATCTATTTAAGGAAGTAGGTTAGCAATGTCTCAGCAACACCTGCCTATACACTCAACATCGCCTTCGTTAGAAACATCTAGAAACATCTACCTACACGTCCACTCACTGAGCACATTAGTTTAAACACCTACCTCATATGTCCACTCACTGACCATGTTAGCTGAAACATCTATTCATACGTCCAGTCATTGACATTGTTAGTAGAAACACTTACCTAAGACAGACACTCCCTTAACACGTTAGTAGAAACACCAACCTCATACGTGCACTCACTGCCCACCTTAATAGAAACAACTACTCATATGTCCACTTACTGACCATGTAAGTTGAAACACCTACTCACATATGTCCACTCACAAACCTTGCCAATAGAAATAACAACCTTATACGTCTGCTCACTGACCACTTGAAAAGCTACACCAAAACTATTGCTCCTCTATATAGGTGTACAATTAGAGAGCCCACTGTGCACGATTTATCAGCCTGCCTCTAAATTTCTTCATTGGTCAGTTTCTGACCGCTGAATCATTGTTGACCAGATATTATTTGGGTGCTGGCCATTCTCAGTACAGCAGTGACACTGACACTGGTAGGGTGTGTTGCATTGGTACAAGTATATCAGGTGATGCGGAGTGTCACTGCTATGTAAAGAGTGGACCGCCACCCAAAAATGTCCAAAAGCCAAGAGTGGCTTTGTGGTCAGACTCAGACCAATGATGAAGGTCTGGATGACTAAAACAAACTGTCCATCAAATGATTGGCTACAGTCTCTAACTGCACACCGGCAAGGTGGAGCTACAATGCAGGTGTTTCTGATAAACTGGACAATTTCTTTCTTGTAGTATCAATAAAAATGATTCTCAGAGGCAACCGGACATTACTGACCACTCTTCATGCCTAGTCAAGGTTAATAGGACACTCCGGCCAAAATGAAATAACCATCAATACATCTATTGTAAACATGTTTTCTTGCATCCTATAGTGCTGATGCAGTAGTTAGTGAATGCAGAAGGAAGGCATATAGCTAACTGATTATTTTAGTGCTGTACTCAGTCTTCAAATCATCATTACAATTGGGAGACTGGATTACTCAAACAACAGAAATAGCACTTCAGTTAAGACCAACAACAAGTTAAAAGCTGACGTTAGCAATGTGGCTACCTCACTATCTTCTTTTCTCCGCTTAAAAACATAAAAAACATATTTGGCATCCACTTTGTGCTGAATAAAGATAGAATTGCTGTTTTCTTTATGATTTTGTTCAATGACTGAGGTAAGACATACTGATGTTAGCTTGGTTGTATTTATTAGCTCAGTGGTTAGGCTAGCAGTCCAGATTGGTTGACACCACAGGGATTCTCTCTGGTTGTATGATGTATTTGTATAATGCATGCTGGGTATTGTAGTGAGAGAAAATATAAAAATGATATAAAATTTTGAATTCTGTTAAATTTTGAATTCTGTTTAATTCAGAAGTTTAATGTCTCTAAAATCTCCCTTACAGACAAATATTACATGAAATGGTTACAAATATATTGCTAGATACCCGAGACTCTGTATTATGACAGTTTTGAGATACATTTATGCCTTAAAACATATTTTTTATATATTTTTAATTTACATTCATGCTGGAGAGCTACATACAGGGCAAAACAGTTGCCAAAGAAAACCTATTTTTCTGGATTATCAACATGTCATATAAAAACTATAAATAGAAGATACGTGTAGATTCACTGGTTGTTTTGGATAGTAAATAAAAAGGCTGTATTTGTGCTGTAGACATTGTGACACCTGGTTCTCATCATCACTATTATAAAGAAATTATAGTCAGTGAATTTCTCTACAATTGACCATTTCACATCAAACCACCATGATTTTGTTTACATCACCACGATTGAATTGCAGCAATTTTGAAAAATTCCCTCTTAAGAAGACAGATACAAACAATAAACACCAGGTCAGGCAACTAGACCTCGCTGATTTGTGTATGTGTGTGTGTATGTGTGTGTGTGTATGTGTGTGTGTGTATGTATCAGGGAGGTCTGTGAACTGGACAGGTTTGTGCGAGAGACTGCTTTCAGGGAAGCGAGCGCTAAGATCCGCCTGCAGAGCTTCATTGAGGATCTCCTGGAGCGAGCAGAGAGAGCAGAGAAACAGCTGCAGAACCTACACAGTCTCTCACACACACCCACTGACATGGCATCGCTCCACGGACCGCTAGCTCCCAGAGGAGCACCATATCAGGTACAGTTCAAATCCATTTCCAGTGTAGCACTGTGAACTGGAGTTGTGATATCACTCTTAAAAGTATGATTGGTATTAGCAGAATGGTGACACTATCACCAAAAACTGCAGGTCAACTCCTGAAGTACCAAAGCATAAGTGTGCGAAATTGGGCTTTTCACAGTGCCTCGTTAGCTTGTATTTCACATTAGAAAATACAATGTTCCTAGTGGTTGTTTACAGTTACTTGATCTCATAAACCATTTAAAGATATGGACGGATGAGAAATTAAAGGAAAATGCTGAAAAATGCAGATGCTTCCAGACACATTTACTGCATGAAACAATTAAGCAGTTGCTCTGTGGCATATATAAAGATGATGAGCAGGCCCAGTTGAGAAAATGTGACTGAAAGAGAGTTCATGATTGGGATATGCATGGCAGGAGCTTCAGTCAGAAAGACTGCTCAGTGGACTGGCTAGTGTTTCAGTAGGAACAGTGACTAAAGTGACATTTGACATCTATGAGAAAAACATCAGTAAATATGGTCAGAAATGTCAGAAGCGCATATTCAGTGAGAATGATGCTCATAAATCAGTGTGATATGAAACAAAAAACGAAGAGCAACTGCTCCTCAGGTCATCCGTGCAGGACAGAATAAGACTGTCAGCAAGAACAGTCTGTCCACAACTACATAGAGAGAAATATTATAATAGTAGTATATTATAATAAACAACCCATTGTAAAGACAAGTGCACGTTTTAGAGTTCAGTGGTTTAAAAATCATAGACACTGGTCCACAGAGATGTGGGTAACAGTGATCTAGTCAGATGAGTCACCCTTCACCACATTCTCTACAAGTGGGCAAGTGCATGTGCAGTGAACACCAAGAGAACGGTGGGCTCGAATGCCTGATACTTACAATGAAGCTGTCCAGTGGATCTGTTATTCTGTGGGTAGAAGTTCAGTTCTAGAAGTTTGTAGAATCTACACCAAGGAACACTGAGGCTGTTCTGTTGGCTGGCAGTGGGCCACCTTTTTAAGACACATGGAGGTAGTTACCTCATTATCTAAGTAACGTACGTCAATTTGGCTTCATGTCTCTGTCATCCTCTAAAAGAGTAAAAAACTTATCTCTGGCACCAATTTTGTGCTGAATAAAGATAAAATCGCTGTTTTCTTTATGATTTTGTTCACTGATTGAGGTAAGACTTACACTAATGCTAGCTTGTTGTATTTTTTCGCTAATAGATCTGTGGTTAGGCTAGCAATCCAGATTGGTTGACACCACAGGCGATCTCAGTAGTTGTATGATGTATTTGTGTAATGCATGCTGGGTATTGTAATGAGAGAAAATTGATGAATAAAAACATAAAAGTTATATTAAATTGTCCTTTAAATTTTGTGACTAACGTTGTCCTTTCTATCTAAAGCCCCTGCATGAACAGAATAGTCAGACTCATTTGTTGCTCTAAAAGAGTGCTGACTCCACTAAACCACAATTCTAGAACCCAACTCTGCTTGAGTCCTGCAAGCATGTAAATATCCTGGAATGACAAAATGCAGTTCTTACTTTTCTTGGTCAACAGGTTCTAAAATCTGCGTTTGAAGCCGTTGTAAAATACTGGACATACACACACCTATGATTGCCTCACAGCAAGTGAATTCTGTACTGCTGCTCACATGGACCACCGAGTAAACAGTAAACACTATTTATTCAGTATGCAAATGTATACACTTGGTTGAATCCCACATGGCTGTTTGTTAGACATGTTATGCACTGTGTGGGTGCAGGAGCCAGCATTTTAATTCCTATGTAGTGCACATTTAATTCCTATGTAGGGAGACATTTGGGGTTGGAGTCTCAGCATTAGAAATAGGACATACAGCGGTGGCAGCTTAGTGCTAAATAAGACTGGAAAATGCCTAGAGAAACTAATGGAAATTGAATAGAAATAGTTTTGCGAGCGAAAACTACTTAACCCCTTAAATGGCCAGAGCCCACCGAAGGGCCCAAAGTTTTATTACACACTTGTCTGAAGCCTTCAATTTGTCTTTCAATTGATGGCTCTTTAACAAAATAAATGTCAATGAATTATGTGAATATGAAGAGCCTTTTTAAAGTTTGAAGAACCTCTACACAATGTTATGGTTCTATGCCAATTAATGAGTTTTCCTAGAACCATACATCCAAGCCAAGAACTGTATTTTAGATGCACAGCATCTCATGGAACTGGCTAACTCATTTACTCACTCACTCACGATTAGCAGGCTGGAAAGTCTCCACAAGGGGGCGCCATTGGCAGTCAAATGGCTTTTAATGCTTCTTGAGGGCAGTACTTTGCATCAGTGACACCATGTGTCTTTGTTAAGAGTGCAATTCCTTTCAGGATTCCTCTCATTTAATCCTATCTTCATTCCCTCTCCTCAACCAGAGGAGCTACAGCGTATCAGGGATGTCCAGGTGCTGTTACTCGCAGTATGATCGCAGGGGCAGTCCACTTGCCAGGTAACTTCAGCATGTACTTCATAAAGATTATGCATGTCTTCTTCTGTAACAGAAGTAGGTCAAAGTCTATTTTCACATACAAGCCTTAGATAAGACGCATCTTAGATAAAACATTCAAGCATCCTAAAATTTTAGAATATTTGTCAAATATTAATGACTCCTCATTTGCTTTTATTTTAGATGCAGGGGCGCTGTTTTATTTATAAATCATTTCATTTATAAATTATTTTATTTATAAATTGGCAGTCCAATCAGCAGATAGTTCAAATATCTATTTCATATAGAACATGTATTTTTTATGTAGAACATGCAAGTTTTTTAAATGAGTGGGCCAAATCAAGCTCTTTGAAAAGTTCTTACGTTTTTAAAAGTCATGCATTAAACATGCATCCTAAAATATTAGAACATTTTTGAAACATTAAAGGCCTCCAGTTTGCTTTAATTATAGATACAGGGGTGTCACTCTTTTTTACAACAATTTTGTTTATAACTTAGTCACTTGTATCTATTCTGGCATTGTGCATCTCCTGGGCAGGTACAGTGGCAGCAGGATGCGGACCCTGTCCGTCGGGTCTGGGGGGTGTGAAGTGGACTGGGAGGGGGCACCGACCGCTCTGGAGGCACAGTATTACCATGTGCTGTGTGCGGGTCTCCAGGGTCCACAGAGGGCCCCTCCGTCTCCCTGCTGGACCCCCCACACACAGCCCGGAACTGAGGGCGACTCAGACAGCTGGTCCATCTACACTGCTGAATCACAGGAGGATCTACACCCACGCAGGCGCTACAGAACATACAGCAAGACAGGTAACACAAAGGCATGTTTGCTTCAGCTCTGAAATAAGAAATAAAGCACAGGTCCTCACAAGAAGAAATGAAGACAGAGACCAGTGGCTTACATTCAGGCAGATAAAGAATAAATGTACTTTCTACATCAGGAAAGCCAAAGAATTTCCCCTTCAGTTATATTTAAATTCAGCTTCGAACTCCTTCAGATTCTGGAAGACAATTAATTTGCTCAAAAACAAATCAGTGCCATTTCAACCTATATGTTAATTAATGATCAATAGATTTCTGATCAGAGAGATCATTTAATACTCACTTTACAGCTACTGGACATTTATTTGATAATACTAATATGGACTCACCTCTCAATGATGATGTTCACCCTCTCTCTTCTCACATAGTAGCTAAAGCCCTTGATACCATCAACAACCCAATTATTTTAGAACATACTGCCTATGATCAACTTAAGACATTTCTCCAAATTCAGTCTTGTCAGACTAACAATCTGTTTTTAGAGAAAAGCATAGCACAATCTCTGCTGCTACTCTCATCTTAGATGATCTTTTCAGTGCCATAGATAGAAACAAACGTTGTGCAGTTGTTTTCACTGATCTCTCTAAAACCTTTGATACAGTTGATCATTCCCTACTTTTTAAAAGTCTATAAAGTATTGGTGTGACCACAGAGCTACCTACTGAATTAGACATTATCTCTCTGATAGACAGCAATGTGCAGGCGGCCCTGGGACAAAGTCAGTCACAGCTACTATCGGTAACTAAGAGGTCCCTCAAGGTTCAATCCTCAGACCAGTATTATTTAATATCCATGACATTGCTACCTCCATTGTCAACTGCAAAGTACATTTATTTACGATGACACAATTTTGTACTGCTCATCTGATTATATTGGTGCTGCAGTGGAAAAACTGCAGCATTGTTTTAATACCTTACAATCTGATTTTTACAATCATAAACTAATATTAAATATTGAGAAAACTAAAGTTATGCTGTTTTCCAGAGCCTCTCACATTGATTTGAACACTTTTAAAATCCTAACCCTGAAGAAATCTGTCACTGAAAGAGTTGGCATATGGCTGAATGACATATGCGCTTTTAAATATCATATTAACAAGCTTACATGTAAACTAAGGCAAAAACTTGGCTTCTGACCACGAGGAAAAGATAGAAACAGCACTGTTGTCCGTTCTGGATTATGGCATTGTGATATACAGATATGCATCTGTAACTACTCTCAAATCTGTAGACTCTGTAAACCACTCTGCTTTAAGATTCATTACTGGTGACCCCTCCAACACCCATCACTGTGTACTGTATGAAAAGGTTGGCTGGTCGTCTCTAGCTGAGTGTCGGGAGACACGCTGGCTTCTTTTATCTATAAAGATCTTACTGGCCATGTGCCGTACATCTCAGAAAGGTGGTATTCACTACAGGAAACTCTAAAGCTTCACTCGCTGGTGTCACATCAACATTTTAAACTTTTAGTCTCTAATCACCTCCACTCTGCAACAGTTTTATTGATTTTAGTTAATTTTACTTTTACTTTTCAGCTACTGCTGAGTTATTTTTTCATATTTTCTATTCTTCAATTACTTCATTCACTACGTTTTTTTATTCATTTTGTCCATATTTGGTCTGTAATTTATTGTTATTTTATTTTTGCAATTTTAATGGTTTATTCTGATTTGATTGATTTTTGTTTAGTATTGAATATTGAGAGTTTTTTTTAGTATTACTGTTATGATTATTATTACTTTTTTAGCATTTGCTTTGTTTTTACAATTTTTTTAAATCCCTGATTTCAGTATTAACTCGGCTACATTGTAAATGAGCACCACCCTCAATGTACTCCAAGTTTAAATAAAGTTTGATTGATAGATTGATAAATGTGTGTGTGTGTGTGTGTGTGTGTGTGTGTGTGTGTGTGTGTGTGTGTGTGTGAACATGAATGTGCACAAAACACAAACATGCCCACATCCACACACCATACTTACAAATATACGTCTATAGAAATGTACAGAATGTAACACATCTATAGAAATGAATCTAAAAAAGTAGCTTCTCTGGTTTTGGACAGAACACGCTGCCTTCCACTGCCCGACCTGTCGCCATGGCAACAGACCTGAGGACTCAATGATGTGTTCAGAGCGAATGAGAATGAGGGCGTGGCTTTTCTGTGTCTTCACTTACCTGGACACACGCTCCCTCCTCACCGCTGCACAGGTGTGTGTGTGAGTTTGTGCGGGGAATATGTATATGCACACTCGTTGTATAGGACATGAATATGAATATTACTATTACTATTATTATTATAACTCTTGCTGAAAAGTATAAGATGTATAATGTGTGTGTTACAGGTGTGTAGAGACTGGTGGAGTGTTGCTCGTCACCCTGCAGTGTGGACCAGAGTAACACTAGAGAACATTCGCATCTCATCAAAGGTATTACTGTTCTGACATATATAACACACATAGCACACACTCACATACACAACGTTACACAGTGGCTTGCACTTCAGTGAAATTAGAATAGAATTGAAATAGTATATTTTTATATTTTTCTACAAATCTGTAATCCAAAAAAGTCATGTAAAATGCCCCTGACCTTCGATCCCTCAGATGACACTGCATTAAAAACCAGCATGGTTCTGTGATGGATATCACCACATGGACTCGGGAAAACTTTGACAAACCACTGTCAATAATAATGAAGTTAAGACTATACTCTGTACTGTGGAAACCATATGCTCACAAACGCCGCCGACTTCTCTGGGTTTGAGCTCTTGCACAGTGGAAAAATGTATTGTGGTCTGATGAGTCAAACTTCCAGATTGTTTATGGAAATAATGCCCATTGTGTTTTCCAGGTAAAAGTTTAAATGGACAATCCAAATTGCTAGCAACGTAAAGTTTCAAAGCCAGGGTCTATTGTGGTATGAGTGTGTGTTAGTGCCCAAGCACCATTAACACCAAAGGCTTTATACACATTTTAGAGCAACATTTGCTGCCTTCATGACAATGTCTTTTGCAGCGACATCCATGCTCATTGCAGCATGAGAACATTCAAACATTCTGCACGTGTTGCAACAGCATGGCTGTGTAATCAGAGCATGCGGGTGCCAGACTGGCCTGCTTGCAATCTACAACTCCCAGTCTCCCATTGAAAATGTGTGGCACATTATGAACTGCAAAATACGACAACTAAAGCCATGTATGGTTGCACAGTTGCAGAGTTGTACAACAGAAAAATGGCAAAAAAAATTCACTATCATTTGACTTCTTTATTCCCCAAATGATTTTTAAGTGTTGTTAACAGGAAAGCTGATGTACCACAGTGGTAAACATGTTTCCATCCCAACTTTTTTGGAACGTGTTGCAGGCATCAAATTTGGAATAAGCATGAAGTTAGGTCCAACACCAAATATCGTGCCAGTTTTATAAAACTGCATAGCCACACATTTTCTTAATTTAAATATCACTGTAACACAGTATAACATGACAAAATCCTTCCAAAAGTAACACATGAACCCACTCTGACAGTTAGAAGCCACTGTGGATTAAATTATATTTTCAAGTATGTTTGGTCCCACATGCAAGTAATCAACAACATTAGGCATGTTAACACACTCAGCTGATTAAAAAATATATTTAAAAGGCACTTTTTGATCTGTTTGGACTGAGCACCATGGCAAACACTCTAACAGTGGAGGAAGAAGACTCACTTGAGCGGGATTTCAGGTTGGCAGATTTAACTGGCACTGTATTAAAACTGACCTTTTCTTCCTGCGCCACATTCTATGTTTTGCGAATCCCCCTGATGTGTAAATGAAATTTCTGAATATCAAGAATTACCAGTAATGCCACACATTATTCGTGGCAAAATGCTGTTTCTGCTGAGTTCTATGAATGTGGTCCATCATATTTTGTGCTGTTCAATGGAATTCAGGTCAAACAGAATTTACTAATCACTGCTTTCTGTTAGCATTAGCATTTCACATATTGTCCCAGTTTTTCTGGAATTGGCGTTTGTACCATTATTATGCAAAATTCTATAAAGTGTGCAATTCCGCCATGGTTTTATATTCTGCATATTGTGTTAATGAAATATTATGTCTCTGTGTGTTTGGGGGTGTGTGTGTAGTTTATGGTGACGCTGTCTCAGTGGTGCAGTCAGACACAGTCGCTCATTCTGCACAACCTCAAACCTCGCTCACGCAACCGGAAAGAGAGTAAAGAAGAGTATCAGAAGAGCACAAGGTACAAACACACGTACACACATGGAGACACACATTTTCTCTTTCGGACTCACAGTCTCCTGCTGACTGCCTAAAGAGCATTAGAGTGTGTTCAGTGTGTTCCAAGTGTATGCTGCATTATGAGCTGGTCTAGTGTACCTCACAGCAAATGTTCAGCTATCACATTGAACCTAGAAGACTTAAATCACAAAAACATAAATCACACCACTTACACACACCTACATATACACCAGTTTGATCTTCTCATTGTACAATCACTTTATTTGAAGTTTTTTTTTTTATTTTACTGTCTACAGGGGCTGTCTGGAGGTGGGTCTAGAGGCAGTGCTAAAATCAGCAGGACGGAGCCTAATGTCTTTGACCATCTCGCATTGCCCCAACATTCTGACAGACAGATCACTGTGGCTCGTCAGCTGCCACTGCAGAGCGCTGCGTACACTTACATACAGGTGAGTGTGAAATTTAACAATATTTTATCTTTATCATGATAACACACCCCTTTCTGAGCATGTCATCAAAATATAAAAAATCAATGAATCCTATTTGATTGGATTTAGTTCAGTGCAGCTTGTGATACATTAAACAATAATGATTGTACTAAAATCTACGAGTACATTGTACTTTAAAATCTATGAGTACAGTGATGAAAATCTCCAGCTTTTGGTGTATTGTGTCTGTGTGTCAAAATATCAAGATACATATCACATATCTTAACATTTCCTCAAGTATCGTAATGTTGTGTTTTTGCCATGTCGCTCAAACTTACGTCACAGCACATACAGCTGAAGGTTTACACACACAAAAGCACAAATATTAAACAGACACAGAGAACAGCAGACAGACTAACTATAATTATGCTTATATGAATGATGTTTATATGAATTTAGGAGCTCATCAGACCCCGTCGGACAGGAGGTGATCTGGGCTTTAGGAGCGGGATGCAGAGACATTACCAACTTACACATAGCGCCTCTACAGCCATGGTGAGCCTTCATCAAAGCATCATCATAGTTATCAACATCATGAACATCTATATCATCATCATCATCATCATCATCACCACGATCATCACCATCACCCACTTACACATAGCACCTCAACAGCCATGATGAGCCTTCATCAAAACATCGTCATTATCAACATCATCAACATCATCATCATCATCAACATCTATATCAACATCATCATCATCATCATCATCATCATTACGAGCCTATGCACAGCACCACTGGAGACAAGATGAGTCTTCATCCTCACCATCACCATCATCATCATCAATCATCTTCATCACCAGCTTACACATAGCACCACCGCAGCCAAGATGAGCCTTCATCATCACCATCATCATCATCTTCTTCATCACTAACTTACATATAGCACCTCTACAGCCCTGGTGAGCCTTCATCATCATTGTCATCATCATCATCACCAATATCATTTTCATCATTTTCATCACCAGTTTACACACAGCACCACTGCAATTATGGTGAGACTTCATCATCATCATCACCACCAGCCTACACATAGAACCACTATAGCCAAGATTAGCCTTCACTATCATCATCATCATCATCATCATCATCATCATCACCACCAGCCTACACATAGCACCACTTAGCCAAGATTAGCCTTCACTATCATCATCATCATCATCATCATCATCATCATCATCACCACCAGCCTACACATAGCACAACTATAGCCAAGATTAGCCTTCACTATCATCATCATCATCATCATCATCACCACCAGACTACACATAGCACCACTATAGCCAAGATTAGCCTTCACTATCATCATCATCATCATCATCATCATCATCATCATCATCACCACCAGCCTACACATAGCACCACTTAGCCAAGATTAGCCTTCACTATCATCATCATCATCATCATCATCACCACCAGCCTACACATAGCACCACTATAGCCAAGACTAGCCTTCACTATCATCATCATCATCATCATCATCATCACCAGACTACACATAGCACCACTATAGCCAAGATTAGCCTTCACTATCATCATCATCATCATCATCATCATCATCATCACCACCAGCCTACACATAGCACCGCTCTAGCCAAGATTAGTCTTCACTATCATCATCATCATCATCATCATCATCATCATCATCATCACCACCAGCCTACATATAGCACCACTATAGCCAAGATTAGTCTTTATCATCAACATCATTATTACCATCATCGTGATTTTCATTTTCAACACCAGCTTACGCATAACACTACCACAGCTACAGTGAGCCTTCATCATCATCATCATCATCAACCTTATCATCACAATCATCATCATCATCATTATCATCATCATCATCGTCATCATCTCTATCATTATCATCATCATTATCAGCCTAAAAGTCAGGTAATGAAAAGCACATAAGCTTACAAGTACATTAAAGTGCTTTAATTTGTTTCCATCATTCCAAATGCTTACTGTTCATATCATTTAATGACTCCAATCCTCAGTCAACAGCCCACTCGCTTCAGTAATCGCTGCTTGCAGACAATCGGTCGGTGTTGGCCTAACCTGCGCCAGGTGGGTGTGGGTGGGGCTGGCTGTGGCATTCAGGGATTGGCCTCTTTAGGTGAGTCACAGGCATGGTTACATCTTTCAGCTGAATCTTCATTGAAAACTCTGTTAAAGTGTTGAAAACCATCACCATCATTCTTCATTCCTCTTTCTGTCTTTTTTCCCTCTCTCCACAGTGAGGAACTGTGCAGGTGTGTGTGTGCTGGAGTTGGACCACATGAGCGAGATCAGCCAGGAGGGGGCAGCAGAGCTGTGCAGAGAGGGACTGCAGCAGCTACAGACACTGATCTTCAACTCCACACCTGTCACTGCTAAAGCCATACTGCACTTTAACAGTGAGTTCTACACACACAAGAGCCACTACTATTCTGACCCAAATCATGTGGTTAAGTAATCTCTAATAGACTTGCTCATGTGGTTTCTGACACTGAATGGAATACTATCACGTATAAAACTAGACAAAAATTACTTACATAGCTAAAACATTTGTAGTAGTAGTCATCTTGAAGCCTGAATTTTGTCTATATGTCCATCTTTTTAGATAATAGTATGTCACACAGTGCCAGAAACCACATATGCAAGTTTTTATGAGATTGCTAACCATCAAAATGTGGTTCTCGGTGAGTGTATGATGATTTCGGCAAACAGTTTGCATGATGTTAAGTGGTAGGCATAAGCTTGGCTAGCCTCAGACAGGACTGTGCTTACATATAAATGGTAGTGGTGAACTGTGACTATAAAGGTTAAGCCTTAAGTTTGAGGCATAAATGTCAATACTCGGTCAAAACATGAGGAAAAAACACAATAATGCTAATTTCTTCTAGCGTCCATATTGAATTCTAGTAGTTTGTTATCAATTTGTGAGTGGTTGATTCCTTTGTTGATTCCTTTGTTTCTTAATTATGCTGATGGTTATTCTTACATGTTAGGCCTTCTCTCCAGCTCTTGAAATCCTACCAAATAGAGTGCTCGCTTAGCTATATCTACCTATAAATGGACCAAAAAAAAATCTGATTGGCCAATTTTCTGCTCAGACAGATATGTATTTTTTAGTTTTCACAAAACACCAGGCCTACTCTGAAGGCCTAGAAGGCCCTGAGGGTTATCCTCCGGTAAATGGAGGGTGTGGCATTACACATTAATCTGGCCTCAGACTGGCTATCCATATGTCTGTGTGAATGCACTTCCCAACAGGAAACTTTATTAGATTGACGGGAAACGCATAATTGCAAGCAGTTCACCAGCAGTTTTACAGTTTTGTAAAGTTCATGGTATGACATCTTTAAAAGTTATTGACATTTTTTGAAGCATTTATTAGCTTTTAAGTGAGATATCCTCTCGAATTTGCTGATGCATTTTTTCCCAAAAAATTGTTTTAGTTGCAGCCCAGTTTTGAAAACCTCACATCTGCTTCAACACATAATACTTAAATTACGGTCTGTGATGGTTATTTTGCATGTCAGTCAAATACACCTCCTTTCAAAGTAGGCTTCTCTTGGTTACGCAACAAAATGCACCAGACTCTCTGACTCTGTGAAGTTTGGCTTGTGGGACTACATCTTGGTTGACCTACAATATTTAAGGGGAGAATAAAATGGACCATTTTACTTTCTCTCCCCAGGTGTTTGTGTAAAGCTGAAGAATATTGTGGTGCAGATGAGTATTGCAGATTATTTTGAGGACGCTGAGAGTGAAGATGCAAAGAGGTTGTTTGATGAGATTGTCAACAACTTGCAGGTAAATCATCCATTTAAGTTTTGTCTTCAGTGTTTGGATTTATATTCAGTGTTTAATGTGGGTCTTGTTATGTGTAACATAGCCAATGAAACTAGTGATCATGACAGGGGCCTTAAGGCTATATGGACCACTGAATGTTGGTGTGTTGTTCTTCTGCAACTAACAGTTTATTGTATATTTGACTCATAATTATGCTTTATCTTAGTTTCCTCTGTTACACCACCCTCATTAGTAGTTCCATCTGTGCAACAACCTGTTTCTTTTTTTATGGTGCAGTGAGACAATAGAAGACATATCAGAGACAGTTTTAAGCGAGCCGGGCCACTTCCTATTTGCCATATTATAAACATAACAAAAACGACAAACACTACAGTGTACCCTTGAATGAGTCCTCAGTGATTGGGAGTGAATGGAGCTAAACAAAGCTAAAATGAAATGTGTTTCTAGCTATTTGTGCGGGAATGTCCTTTAATTTTGGAAGGCAGAAAGATGTATTCCATTAAAAAATCAAAGGAAACTTACCTGTATCTTTCTGTTTTCTACAGCAAAAATAAGTTTTGGGCAGTAGAATGCTAGCATTACTGCTACTGAGTGCTGATTGTGCTTGCTAATGTCATTTAAGTAAGTGAGGCACTGTTAGAAAGTTGGGTAGTTTAAAAGTGCTTAAAATATGGCAGCAGTGTTGAGATATTTGATGTTGTTCTGTGAGTTCATTTATCTGCACAAAAATGATTTTCAATAAGCATTTACAAATTAGGATTTTGCACAAAAGCTTCATAGGAGCCCATTCATTTAGGATTTGCCCTGGAGCCCCCTCTAGTGTCTAACAAAGACATTACTGAATTGCATTTCTCCTCACTAGAATTTCCCTGTCCATATCACCCCTTATACATCTTGTAGTATGTTATGATCTGTTGCGATGACCAAATATTAGACATGAACTTTTTTTTTTCGAAATCAATGACACTGGCCACTAATCGACTTTGCTGACTAATCATTTCAAAGATTCTGTGTCGTGCATTAATGTATGAATAGACTGATGGATTAATTCCATTTTTCTTTCTTGAATCAGGTTCTGCGGAAGAGACCTGGCCTGTCCGACATCCTTCAGATTAAGGTGGACAGACCGTGATGTCATCAGCTAGAACATTTTAAGAACAGAACCTTTCTGTTCATCACTGTGAGATTCTACCTGACCAAATACACACACACACACACACACACACACACACACACACACATACACACACACACACTTTGCACAGTGTTACACAACACCAAACTAATTATAACAATAAGAAAAATTCTCAGGTCTGACTTTTATTGTAACATTTCAAGTATGAAACATATTCCTTGAAAATACTCATGTATATACATACACTTACCACCTAACCTTACCTTTTATTTTCCCACTCCTTTTGTTACTGTATACACATACAAAAATTGGTGGTAACACTTTAGTTGAAGGCTACCTTCATAGAAACATAGCACAGGCATAAGCACTGAATGACATATCTAAAAGGCAGTTTTGAGAATTAATGAATAGCTTATGCCAGTCAGGATGACATTAGATTTTTTGAAGTAAATGACATAGTATTGACATAAGAGGAGAAGTGATGGACAGCTATTCCATTTATTACACTGTTATGAAACTTTATTCCCACATAAAGGGACTTACACGTAGAGTCTAATTACTATTATTCTAATAATCAGCACCATTTTAGTTTAGCTGTTCTCTCATTATTTTCCAAGTGACTTTAATTTTCACTGGTTTTAGGGATAAGCTACAGCGACCAGACAAACTTCAATATGGCCATAGCAGAGTGAACTAAAACTACAACAGCAAATGGAGAAATTCCAGCCAACTTTGATTAGTTTCATTAATTATGAACAAAGTGCTTATAAACTAGTGGAAGAATCAAGAGACAAGGAAGATAATGTGATCATTTTGCACTACTGTCATCTCATAATATTATTAGCAGATTACATAGTGATTGTGTCAGTATTACGTGAAACAATAATGGAATTGAATTGAATTCCAAACACAAGAAAAACACAAAATGAATTCAGGTAACCCTCATGCTATATCTGTCTTTTTGCCTGCCGTAGAGGAACAGCAGGTCAGGCTACGGCTGAATGGGCAGCACAAAGTTTGCTTAAAACCTACTAAGAAGCAGAAACGATCCCAGAATGTGTGTCCAAATATAACATTTTTGAAACATGGTGTAAAAAAAGCACTAATACATAATAAAATAATAATTCCTCTACATCCAATAAATCTTCTGTTAACTCATATCACTCTTGAATATTCTTATTGCCCTTATAAAACTATACAATGTCCTTTACTGCTTACAGTATCTTATGTCATTGTGCAGTTACTGGCATTGGGTGTTCATAAATATAAAGTATCACTTTATAAATAGGTTATTTAACTCTTCTTCTGTCCCTATGTAGGTAGCCTTCACATATAGTGTTACCAAACACACACACTTACACAGGAACAAAAGAAAACTCTGCTGCAACATTTGCCAGTGATTTTGGGACGTCCAAGTGGTTACCTGCAAAAACCAGGGCCTCTCAATAACAGTAAGCATGTCTTTATATAATGACCTTACTCAAACTGGACGGGTTAAAAATACTGTTTGAAGTACTATTCCTGTTGTGTTTGGTGTATGTTTGTGATTTTCATGTCATATCTTTTTGTTAATGGTCCAAAATTGAGAGCTGCTGGCTTGTTATGCACCAATTTTATATTGTAATCAGAGGCTGTAGATCCCCCATGTACACCGGCAAACATCCTTATCTAGCCTGAATAGATTACTTCCTTTGGTAAAGTAGCTTCCAAATCAGTTTAAGACATTCAATTTCCCTTATATTTAAGTAATAGTTAGGTAAAATCATATTTACACAGTTTTCTCCTCACTCTAAATGTAATTGATCAGCCAAGACATGTGTAGCGTCTGAAGTCTGCTTCCTTAGTTTTATACTGAGGCTAACAGGCTAATGTAGCTAACCAGTTATAAAAGCTTATAACAAAACTGCAAGACTAAGTCAGTACCCGGTTGTCACAAACTACATCAAAATGTTAAGTGATCTCAAATAGACTTTCTTATGCGGTTTCTGACACTGTATAGCAGACTGTTATCTATAAAAATAGACAAATGTAACGAGCATAACTAGCATAATAGTTGTAATTGTCTCAAAGCCTCATTTTGTGATCATTTGGAGGAGGGAAAATCATGTTAATTCGAATTTTTTTATCAAACTATTACTTTTAAATGTTTAAGTGCTTCCAAACAAACTACTGTTACTATCTAGTGTACAGTGAAATATAGCAATGCATTTGGAATGGATTATAGTACCACTGCAATAGTATGCATCTGACAGGATCTAGATAGTAGTTTTTCTTTTAGTGATTTCTTGTTTTCAGCATCTTCCAATGAGCACAACTCACTAGAAAAGAGAAAATGTGGTTTGAATATAACTGTAAAACCCAAAGATCATGTGATCTTTGTAATCTTTGCAATCTATGTAAGTGTCAAAATGTTGTTGAAGTGTCTTAAGTGCTTTGTTAATGTTGTAAAGCACAAATCATGAGACGAATTCATTGTTCAGTTCAAAATGCTTAAGATGTCTTGGGCCAAATGTACCTCAAATAAAATAACTTCACTTGTGATGTTTTTTTTCCAGGGTATTGTGGTGAAGCTGAGATAATTAACACTGTTAACTGTGCTGAATTTCTATGTGAATTATTCTAGATTAGTTGATCTTTGTTGGTAAGTGGGCAAAATCAATCATTTAAAATAAACAACCTGTATGCAAATATTCCTCAAAAATGTTTGGAAAAGTTGCTTACAATTTATCTAGAAAATATTTTAAATAAAATCAAAGAAAGTTGCATCTTTGAGGGAAAAAACACTTTCTTTTTATTGCCCCAAGTCTCCTGGAACACCATTGTGGTCTATGACCATCTCCTGGGGTATAAATATGAGGTTACATACATGTAAAATCCAATTATCATCCATCAATATGGGTAAGACCAAGGAGCTGTCAACTCATTTGAGTCAGAAGGTTGTGGATCTGCTCAGATTTGGAATCGGTTGAGAAAAATAGTAGTCAGTTGAAATTACCATTAGGCACAGGATGATTAAAAATGCATGAAAAGCACGGAACTGTTGATAATTTGCCAGGAAGAGGATGCATGAGCATACTGCCCCCACATACGGTGAGGAGGACGGTAAGAGAGACAAAAAGGAACCCAAAGATCACTGTTTCAGAACTGCACAGTTTAGTTGAATTTTGGGGTTTTCACATTTCAAAATCCACTGTCACATACCCCCTCCATTAGCAGGAGCTTTATGGAAGAGTTCCACAAAGAGGCTTTTTCAAAGAGCAAGCCACAAAATGCAGCACCTGAACTTTGTAAAATGTCACTGGAGATACGAATGGAATCACATTGTCTATGTGGTCAGATGAGACAAAATGTTTTGGTGCTGCACTCCGTTGTCAGGGGATCTGATGCCCAATGTCCAATATGGTGGTCTGGCTCTGATGAAAATCAATGGCATGATGAATTCCTCTACATACCAGGAGATTTTAGCCCAAACTGTGTCTGCCTCTGCCAAAAGGCTCAAACCTGGCTGTGGGAGGACCTTTCAGCAGGATAATGATCCCAATCTTGGGTTCAGATTTGAACCCAATTGAAAAGCTTTGGTGTGTGTTGGAGAGGGCATAAGTGAAGACCCAAGAACAGAGGTGCTCAATCCTGGTCCTGGAGATCTTCCACCCTGCAGACTTTAGCTTCAACCCAAATCTAGTACACCTGATCCAGGTAATTGAAGGCTTTCAGTGGCATATAAATATTAGTCGCAGGTGTTATTTATTAAAAACAAACATGAAAACATGAACTTGAAAGCTGTGGTTCTTAATAACCTGAAACTAATCGATACAGAGTGGAAATGAAGCTCTCTGCCTGACCAAACACATCCATTGCTCTACTGTACTCTCTGCTATTGATTCAAAATTGCTCAATATGTGAAATGTTCCTGAAACATCATGAGGGAGTTGCACAAATAACAATGTTACTAAGGGAAAAGTGTCTAAATGGAAATTATAACAAGTATTTCTGAGCTGGAGGCTAAGCTGCAGTGGCAGACCTACCACCAGAGCAGAGTGACTACAGTGTGTGGCCTGTACTGAAATAATGAAAGCCTGCTGAAGCAGGTGTCACACTCCGTAGTGAGAGATGTGTGTGCACGCTTTCACACTTCTCATGTGTTGTATACGAGGTGAGAGACTTATGAAAGCAGGAACCGGCTTGAGCTGGAAGGAAAATGAATAAGACTGAATAAAAGATACACTGTGGCATTCAGCCCTGATTAAATGCTGGGTTGGATCACCTGAGTTCAATAGAAGCTCAATCTTCAGCAGAGGCTTTGAAATACTCACTTTCAGCTCCTCTAATCCAATCCAAAAACCCAAATCCAGTCAACGTGGGCCAGAAAAAATGGGCCATCTGCCTCCAAGATAAAAATGATCTTTTATTTATTTATTACCCATTTTGTGTTCTTTATTTAGGTCAGACAAGTCTGAGTGACTTTCAACTCAGTTTTAAATAGCTTTTGTGTGTGTGTGCTTGTGGGTGGATAGAGACAGAGAGAGGGAGAGAGAGAGAGAGAGAGAGAGAGAGGAGAAAGATGTTAAAGCTTGAATTCAGAGTGAGGAATAGAGCGCCTCAAGCTGGTGCGGCACTGCAGCACTACAGTTTATCAGAGAACTTGTAAAGAGGACAATTATCACTCTATAATGACTTCCGGGCTTATCAAGTCCAAACAGAATGGGTTAATGTGGAGCATTTGGGCACAATAGTTTGTAAATGTATAAACATTTTTTAGAAATAGGAAGTGGCCAGACTACACATAAACCTGCTCTGAGTTTATCTACAGCACAGGAACAGTACACTGAGCTAATACCACTGGGTTTTAATGAATTGCTTAGCTATGTTTGTTATTGTTTCGTTTCTATCTGTAGTTCATCTATCGATGGATCTGTGTGTTTGTGTATTATTTATTTTGGCTGCATTTAATTCTTGAATTTAAATTAATTTCTTGTTTTACTCGTCATTATAATCACTCACACACACACACACACACACACACACACGGTGTGGTGTGGTGTGGTGATGGTCCGAAAGTTGTGGTTAACAGAGTCAGATGCAGTCTGGATCTCTGCCCTGTGGAAACGGGCAGAACAGCGCCCTCCGGTGGACAAAGAATAATACAGACCTTAGAATCAGCTACGAACAGGAGTTCTGGGCAGTGAAGAGAGCGAGAAAAGAGCTGCAGCTCCGCTCTGCAAACCACACATGAAACACGAGGCTGAATTTGGCTTCTTACTCTCCAGCTTCTTGTTCGCATTTTCCGTCCCACCTTAAGTGGTGCAGCAGTTACAGTCTGGCGCCGTTTAC